TTCCCCTGGTGCACCCCGTTGCAGCGCATCCTGGTCATACTGGTCGCCCGCTCTAGTGCGCCCCCCCCTTCGCCCTGGTCACCCCGCTGTCCAAATGTCCAGTTCCCCTTCGTCGCCTGCTACGTGGGCGGGGAACGCCTTGCATGCTGCTCCCAACGCGTTGACTTGCCTGGATCCCACTATGTTGTGGGTCAGGTACACCTTGCATGTTGTCCCTGATCTCTCCTTTGTTCCCCCCTATATGCATTCCACATTTGCTTGTACTGCCGAGACCGTCGGTACCAGGCCCAACACAGGCTCATTACGGGTCGTACGTGAGCACCGTCCTCGGGTCAACAACTGGGCGTTGTGGTACCAAGGCCCTTAAGGCCCAGGCGTGCCGCCTCCAGGTCAGTCCTCAATTATCCCGTTCCGGTTCAGGCAGCCTGTCGTTTCGGAAATCTTCACAGATTGTCCGCTGTAACGCGCCATAGTGGTGCCAAACTGGGTATAGATGGTCGCAGTGATGGTGCCGAGCCTGAGTTAATTACCTGTGATAGCACCGATCCAGGAATAACCTGCCGTCCAGGTTCCGGGCCTGAGACAGACCACCGCGGCAGTCTCCAGACCTGAAAATAAATCATACCGAAGCCGCAAAACTTGAAATAAGCCGCCGTGGCGGCGGCGTACCTGAAATAAATCGCCACAGTGTCCCCAATAAATTGTCTTAATGGCACCGAACCTGACACATGTCACCGCGAGGGTGCCGAATCCGGATAATAGTCTGCCGCAGCGGTGCCGGAGATGAAAAAAAATCACCGCCGAGCCTAAAAATAAATTACCACTAGGATCCCGAACCTGAAATACATCGTCATAGTGGATCCAGACCTGAAGGTAAGCCTCCGTGACGGTTCCGATCCTGTAACAAATAGTCATGATGATGCTGAACCTGAAATAAATAGCTGTGATGATGTTGATCCTGGAAATAAATCACCCTGGTGCCCGAACCTGAAGTACGCCGATTCCGGCTCAAGCCGATCCTCAAACATGTCCGGTACCGAACCTGGCATCATGCCGTCGGCCCAATGTAACACGACCCCACGTTGTCCATATCCATGAGGACATCGTCCGTTCCGCCGAGTTCACTAAGGCTAGCAATCAGGTAAATAAGGGACACATCATAGAGAGTTTCGACCAATGGGGGATAGTAAAAAAAAATTGAGCTTAGGGAATTTGATCAAATCGGGGTTCTGAGCCGACGGCGGGYATCCCAAGCAAAAACCGGGTCAGGCATCGAATAATCATTAGCTCCTGTTTGTTCCACCCTTTTTTAATCGTTCTCCCTTTTCCTTAACTCTATTGTCTGAAATAGTGAATTASCYGTAGGTTCTCCAAAAATGCATTCTGAGGGAGTTTAATCAAATGGTTGAAATTCCCTCTTTTCTTCTCTCCTTTACCATTCTWAATCMTTTTCTCTGGTTGTTATATTTCRTTRCCGGAAATGTAAAATAACGAGGTATTTCCCGAAAATTTATATGCTGCGAAAGAATAGGGGAATTAAGGAATATTATGTTTTTCTCTTCCCTCCTACTGTTCCCAATCTTTTCTCCCATATTTAAATTAGGTACCAAAAATTGATAAAATTTCAGGCGCTACTCCAGGCCGATCATATGCTGCTAAAGCATTGCCGCAGGGTCATCACGCGCTATGCCTCCCCACAACCGGCCATCCCAGGTCTAACCTCGGGACGTGTGGGAATTGCGGTCCCTAGATGTGCCGGGAGCGGCTACCCACTTCACCATCTTTGGGGGTTACTCGAAAGGTTTAGTTCGCCCAAAATCAGGGGTGCCCTGAGTTCCCCTAATTTTTGCTGCCTGGTCATACCAGAGTACCATCAAAATACGGACTTGTCCCCGAGCCGAAGTCCCGAAATCGCTGATTTTAGGCGGCGCACTGCTTGTGGCCACCTGACAGTTAGCCCGGACCACTTCTCGACGCCCCCGTCGAGCCCTATCCACTTGCGTCAAATAAAGCGGACGAGTTTCAGGGTGATTGCCCGTAAAGGTCGGCCACGTCGGCGTTTAATTGTCTTATGTTTCAGTTTGTTATTAGTTCCATGGCTAAGAAGATGCTTCTTGACTTTCCTTTTCCTTCGGGATTTTGGTCTCGGTAGGATTTTTTTTTTCTTCTGATGTTGGTCTGAGAAATATGCCGACTCATTAACTTATCTAATGCGAACTCTCCGTCTGGCTCTCTTGAGCATGAATAACCATTTATTCCTTTTCACTATCGTCAATCCTTTGACCTTTCTTATTTCTACCCTCTTTCTCTTTTTGGAACTCTCTCCAGCCTCATATCGTCTCACGACGGCTCCATCCTTCATTTTGGCCTTCCTTTTCCCTTGCGGGCTTGTCAGCGATAAGATGGGTGCGGGCCTTGGCCTAAACAACTTTAACCTAGCACCCGCCACTGGGTCCTTCCACTTGGATCCGTCTAATTCTGCTATCATATATGCACCCCAGTCGAGTGCCTCAACCACTCTGTAAGGTCCCATCCATCTGTTGGCGAGTTTTCCGATCCAGGTTCTTTCCAGCGCTGCATCGTAGAGAAGGACCATATCTCCTACACTCACCCTCTCCTTCCTGATCCTCACGTTCTTATCCCATCTCTCTTTACCTTTGTCTCTTTCCACTGCCAGACGATCTGCCGCTGTCATAAGGTTATCTTCCAAACCGTAGGCTATCTGTCTTGTTCGGGCAGCTATGAGTTCCTCTCTGGACATCTCCTCCGCCCAGTCGACGGTTGTCCAGCCGTCGACGTGAAACTCTATGGGAAGCGGACAATGCCGCCCAAACCACAAGGTGTATGGAGGGTATCCCGTGCTAGCCCGGACCGTAACGTTGTCCGCCCAAATTGCGTATCGAAAATATCGTGGCCTATCACTGTCCTTGCCTTTGCACCACTTAGATAGTGACGCTATCAAGGTCTGGTGCCCTCTCTCTACTGGGGAGTTCGACTGTGGGTGGTAGGCAGTGGCTATCGAAACTCTCGCCCCAACTCTCTTGAATACATCCTGAACCTCGTCAGCCAGGAATTCCGCTCCTCTGTCCATCACTATTTTGCTGACACAACCATACCTAGATAAGTACTCTAGGACGAAGTTCTTCACTTCCCTTGCCGTCTTACTCCTGATACGTCTACCGTCTACGAACCCCGTGAAGTCGTCTCGTATGTTCACAACATAGTTCATATTGCCTACCCCTTTTGGCAATCTTTACCAGATCGATGTGTACCTTCTCTCTTGGTCGGGTTGGATAGGATGGATGAAGTGGCTCTTTGTATTTCACAAGCGCTCTCTTCTGGCATTCTTCGCAGGTCATACAATATCTTTCGACGTCCTTATACTATCCTTCCCACCAGTACAGCCTGCGAACCTTTTCGTAGGTCCCTCTGACTCCTCTATGTCCTCCGACCACCCCGTCGTGAAGCTCCGCTACTATCGTCTGACTCTCTTCAGGATCACAGACTACTCGTAAGGGCATCCCCGACCCTACTGGCCTTCGAAAAAGGTGACCCGCTCTAAGACAGTACTGGGCTGCTTGTCTCCGGATATCTAAATCTTGACTCTCCTCTTCCGTCAGGTATAGCCCGATCGTTCGGTACTTGCCCTCGTAAAGGTTAACCAGAAATCTCTCGGCGCGTCTCGGCTCCGCCATTGTTAGGGCTCCAGCTACTATCGGGCGCTCTCCCTCAAGAGGGATCCGAGAGAGTCCATCTGCTACGACATTTTTAGTGCCAGATATCCTCTCTACTGTGTAATCATATAGTCGAATCCGTATTAACCATCGTGCAACGGTCGGGTCTGTCAGGCTAAAATCCTTCTGGAGGACAGAGGCGACCGCGGTGGGATCCACTCTCAAGATGAACCGTCGTCCATAGATATAATGTCTGAACGTGTCTAGATACCGCAGAACAGCTAATACTTCCTTCTTGAATTGACTGTAGTTTCGTTGTGTCGTATTGAGTGTCGTACTCTCAAATCTTAATGGTCTTTCCTTCCCTTCAGCGTCCTTCTGAGACAGCAACCCTCCTACCGAACAAGGTGCAGCATCTGTGGCTACTATGAAGAGTCTCCCAGCCTCATCATCAACAACAGCACGCCCAGTACGCGTCCTCCCTCCTTAAATTCATCTTTAAGCTCTTGCATAGCGAATTCTTGCGAGGAATCCCAGTAGAATTTGTCCGTTTTTCGAAGGAGTAGTCTCAATGACTCAGCCTTCTCCGCATACCCTCATATGAATATACGCCAGTAACCGACCACTCCCAGAAACTGTCGGACCTCGGTTGGACTATGTAATTGTGACGGCCAGTTCAGGAGTTTGTCTAACTTCGCCGGATCTGCTCGGCGTCCCCTCGAGTCACAGATAAAGCCCAAGATCTTAATAGTCGATACGGCCCATCGGCTCTTTGTTCCGCTGACTGTTAGATTCGCATCGTCCAGCTGCTCGAGTACCGCGCAAATATCTGTTAGGTGTTGCTCGACGAATCTTCTAACTCCAGGTGCAACCTCTGCCTCATCCTTGTTTACTGACCCTTTTATAGGAAAGTCATCCAGAAAAACTTCAACCTTATCAGGGATGAAGTCCTTGAGGACGGCTACCATGGCTCTCTGACAAACGGCTACCCCATTAGTCCAACCCACAGGGACAACCATCATCTGTATTAGTCCCAATGGCGTATGCATAGCCGTGAGGTGCCTGTCTCTAGGGTCAAGCGGTACCTCATCATAACCTGAGAACAAATGACAGACCGAATAAATCGACCTACCTGCGGCGCCTTCTGCCAGGATCTTGTCATTCGGCTTTCGTAGGAAGAACCATCGATTAGCATAAGCGCTATCAGACGGCTTTGTAACGTGGGAAACCATCTTTTCTTTCAGAAAAGTGATAACTTCTTCCTTCTCCTTCTGGGCGTATTTCCATTCCGCGTCATTCCAGGGAACATGTGGTATCATGTAAATCCTTGCTGGCTTAGCGTATCGAGGGTCAACCCTACCGCGCTCCACGTCACTAAAAGCTATGGCCTTATCACATGTCTTCAGGATTTCTATCACACGTTCTCGCTCCTGTGGGGTCAAATTCTCATCTCCGATGTCCATCCCTCCTATCCTCTCTTCCGTTAGGCGTTGCGGCCCCTTTCTCTTTCTTTTTTTGATTTCTTTCGTGATCTCTTCTTCCGATATCCCTTCCAGTGCAGATCGCTCGCGGCCCACCGCCGCTGGCTTAACTTTTTGAGTTACTCGCTTGTGTCGCTTGGGTAGCCCTTCATAGGGGGGCGTACCCTAAAAAACGTCACGGATACCACACCGCCAAATTCCTCATCTTTTTCCTTTGGGTACGAGTTGCCGTCCACTATTAGCCGACTCCCTAAATCTTCCACCTCCACGATCCGGCCTTCTTCCTCTGTGAGCAGTGGTCCATATTTCTTCTCGCGAAATCGCACCGCGCGGCCGGAGATAGGTAACGACTTAATCTGATCACTGGGTCCCGCACCCACAGCGAGAGTTGCTCTTTTCCTCGAGTCCCGAGGATCCACTGTCTCAATCATTACCCGCGTCCCGTCTGGCTTCCTAATGGACAATGTTTGACTCCCATCAGATCGCTCTATCGTCACCGCATGCACGTGGCTCAACCACGTTCGACCCAAGAGCAGGTCGGAGCTGCGGTTCTTGAGTGCAAAGACAGGCAGGGTCACTCGTACCCCTTGGACCTTTATGGCTGCCTTGTGACAAACCTCAGTGATCTGTTGCTTTCTCCCATCAGCCGTCTCTATCTTGAAAAGGTATGACCTATCAAGGCCCAGTCCAACCTGTACTGCCAGGTCCTCGTCTATGATGACAGCCTCACTGCCGTTATCGATCACAGCATCGAGTACCGCTCCATCGTTTATAATCGTCTCCACGGGCCCGCTACCAAGTATATAAAACTTGTCTGGAGGCACACCTTCCATTCCATCGAGAAGGACTGTCGCCATGCGATCCGCTCTGGCAGTCACCCCCGTTACCGCTACTGTAGAAGCTTCTGCCTTAGGGGCCCCCTGACCCTCCTCAGATAGAGGTATGCGAGTCTTCCGCGTGATCATTTGTAACTCATCACGAGACGGCTTCGATGCCGCCAGGTACTCCAGAATAGAGCACTGCATGGGTTGCCGAACGGCCCGCCTTAGTGGCTCGACCGTGTCAATCTTGTCCAACGAACTCTTCATTAAGAACTTTTTCACTCCCCGCTTTCGCGACGAAAGCATAACCTCCTCTCCATCGACCCGCTGCCCGTCCTTCTCCGGCATCACGTAATCCGTGTCAGTCTTCTTCGATGTAGACCCTCTCGTCGACTTGGTGGCTGCCACCCTTATGGATGTGGTCGCCATATCCCCCTCAAAGGTTATCTTGATGCTCTAGCTCCTGATCGGCTCCTTTTCTTTGCTCGGCTTTACTCTCCTTGCTTCGACATTCTCCTTCATCGGCAATCCCTCTTGATATGATCTTCTCCTCTACAGTAGACGCATGAGTTCCTGGGAGTAGATGGCCTGTCGTCTGCGCTTCTAGAGATCGAACTCGTGGCTGCCTTGAGGTCAGGCGACTTGGGATATGGTTGTGATGAGATGCCATATCCCCCTCTCTCATTCCGACCGCGCGAATCGTTGCGGCGGTCTCCTCCAGACCCTCCTTGCTCATACCGCCCTCGCGAATCATTCCGGCGGTCCCCCGAGTCATATCGCACTCGTGACTCATCGCGTCGGTCCCCTCGGTTGTACCACCCCCGCGACTCGTCGCGCTGCTCATTCGCATCTCCCTTACACTCAAACCGTTTGTGCGACCCATCTCGTCGTTCCCAGTCCCGATCTCCTCTTTCATACCCGCCGCCTCTGTAGCCATCTCGACCCGACCTCTCGTATCTGTCGTCCCTCTATCCGTCTCGATCCGATCTCTCGTATTTGTCGTCCCTATATCCATCTCGGTCCGATCTCTCGTATCTGTCGTCCCTATATCCATCTCGTCGGCCCTGATCTAGCTCCCATCGATCGCGGGAGTCGCCTCTACCCCGATCGGCCTCATAGCGAGGGCTTCGCGGGTAATCATCCAGCCTCCTTGCTCGCGCAAACGGCTCGCGATCTCTGCAGTCTCGGTCTATCTCATCCTCCCTACGTCGCCATGGCTCATCGTCTCTCTCTCTTCCCCTCGTACGATAATCAGTCAGGGTCTGAGGATTTCTATCCTCGACACTCCTCCAGGAATCGTTGTTCCTACGGTCCCAGCGAAGTGAAGAGGGCCCTCCAGGTTTGTCCCGGTAGGCCGTGCCCCCTGTAGTGGTCACAATCTCTGTAACCTGTTTCGTCAATCCCTTCACCATGTCCCGTATCTCCTTCACTTCCTCAGCCACGACCTCATTCTTCTCCGACCAGAGATAGTCCTTGAAATCAGGACATCTATCCGTGGCATACTCCTTGTAGAGAGAGAAGTACGTCTCCTCATCCCTCTCCACACCAAGTCCTTGTAATCGTCTGCCTCTGCCTTTATCGCGAGGTTTAGGACTTCAGGGAAATCAAGCCTGTCACGCGAAAGATCTCTAAGTATACTCTTTTGCCTACCTTTGGAGAAGTGTCCGATGAAGATAGTACTGAGATTTTCCCCTTCTTCATCAGCACATCAGAGATCTTCTGGAAACGCATCCCAAATGCCCGTACGCTCTCATCTTCATCTTGAGTCATTGTTTCAAGGTCCTTGATGGAATACTTGTTATCCTCCAATTTGTAAAGCTCAACGAGGTTCTTCTTGTACGTAGTTCATTTTCCATCCTTCGATCGAGCTTCCTTAACTTTCCTACCGAGACTTGGGTCCACATTAAATAGGAAGTTCTCTATAATCTCTTCCTCCGACTACTGACTCCGGCTGGCGTGAAGCTCCCACTTCTCCAGATATTCTGTGATACCATAGCCCCTGAAGATAGGAGGCTCTGAGGCCTTGTGCGTAATAATATAGCGATCCTTGCTCTCGTAAGGGAGCGGATGTGACTCCCCTGTCTGGGGGTCGAAAAGTCGCCTGGGCGGCGCCCTGTCTCTATCTCTGTCACTTCAATACGAATCCCTCGAACTCTCTCTCCAGTCATCTCTGTACCTGTCTGCTATGGTGTCCCTCCGCTCGTACTCAGGGGAGCGTCGCCTCGTCGCTTCTCGTCGTCCGCTCGAGGTACCCGTCTTTAGAGTCTCCTGCGGCTCTGTCGCAACTGGTTCGCCCCTTACGTCGGACCCTCTGTCATTGGTTTGGTCAGCCCATCTCAGCGGTGCTTCTCGCGTAATTCGTTCCTTCAGATCCCTCAGAGCTCGATCGGGCGATGTCTTGTACTCCTCTCCCGCTTCGCCCGTGGTCGGTTGTGGCCCCATCGTGTCGGGTTCCATTGCACCGCCAGAAGATGCAGTTAGGTATTTTAGCCAACTGTTACAGCCCGACCCTATGACAGTCGCTGCAGCCCGGACCTGTTTCCTTGTCACGGCTCGCGTCCGCCTCCAATCTTAGCTCTCGACTGCCTTGATTACCACTTCCAGTATTCTGTACCGGTCGCGGATCTCGTGCTATCCCTCTATCCCAAGAATCCCTATGTCTTAGTAAACCTCTCCTTCGGGATCGGCCAACAAGGCCGTGCCTCCCCGGATCTGCAGTACACTCGTGACTGGACCTCTATCCTTGAAACAAATCGCAGTCCCAAACCTAGCCAATGTCTCCTGATCAACACCCCTCAAGAGTCTCCGAACGTCTATCTTCGTCCTCCTTGCTAGTTCTCCTAGCCCTGTCCCGAATCGGTTACCCCGCTAAAGGCCCTCCTACTGCCATCCAAAGTCGCCCATCGACCTTTCTAGCGTCCACTATCCTTCCAAGAGCTTCCAATTTCTATTTCCACTCCTTTATCTCCCAGACGGCTACGAGGTCATCTGTCTAGCAGCTGAGGTAAGTTAGTGCTATAACAACTTGTAACTGCATCGCCGACCGCTCCAATATGTAATAAAATATCTGAAAGTCCTCCTTATCTCCATCATCCTCTATCGCCTTTAAAGTCTTTATCGATTCCTTCCACTACCGGTCGTGTGCGGCTAACACCTTGAGTATTGCACCATCTGTTACAACTCTCCCTAACTCTCCTGCTTTTCTGGCTTCGCTTATCTTCAACCTCTCAGCCTTCTCTGGTCATCTCGTACCATGCCCTTATCCGAGACCGCCCTTCGAAAGGTGTCACTTGGAGTACGTATTTTATCCTCCGTCCTCCTTCTATTCCAATCCAAAGTCCTGTTCCCCTAGCCTCACGCAGCGCGCGGCGGACACACTCTGCCTCCTCAACTATGCACAGTCTGGTATGGAGCTGGAGTTCTATGATCACTRACACTAATGGTCCGTCCARTCTCCCTACCACATGTAATGAGTACCGATCCGTMGTGTGTAGTGCAGTCYYGYTCATGTCCTGTCGCTACTTCCCTGCGTTACTTTGTCTTCCGTTGTCTCGCTCTCTGCAGATCGCTCACTAGTTTYTTCGYGTGATACGCTTCTAGCCTTTACCCTCTCCAGAAAGTCTGATCTYCACGCCTGGATAATCTCTCTTTCCTCCCTAAACAGATTCTCTAACTCTCTCRTCACGAGTTCAGCCCTACGCAACTTGCCCTCGTCCTGACACGACCAGATCTCCCTTAACTTGTTCCMCAACTTYTTTAYCTGGTTCAAGAGTGGTTCTTTAACGCGCTTTCTCACTCTTCCGACTGCCTCACTCTCCTCTTCCATACTCAGTCCACATCTTTTTCCAACTCATCCTCTCATCCTCACTCTAGCCTCCGCTACCGTCTCATCGTGGTAGTGCTCCGCGCGCATATAACCATGATACCATATCATCACATCATAGGAAATTGAGGTCTGGAAGGTCACTCGCGCCAGTACATCAGCTCTACACTCGTGGATCAAATCCCTGGCTCGTTGTCTGCACTCACTCGCTGTCAAGTCCTCGTCTACGTACGCTCGGAGAAGTACTGTCACAGTGTATCCTGCGCTTACCAGTTGCTCTCCTATACGCATCACCGTGGCCGTCCTTCCCGGCATTCCCTAAGCTGCGGCCTCGAAGGGAAATCTCACATCCTCTAGCCCCGCGTAATCAATCTCTGCCCGTCTCCTGCAGTACCTAATCAGATCGATTGGCCTCAGACAGTCCACCCAGCTAGTAACGTCTATGATGTCATCAAGCATCTCTCTACTGGGCGGCCCCCACCTCACACAAATGGCGTAGTATACTTCCTTGAAGCGGGGCACTAAGCCCTCCCAGAGCGCGTAAAGTGTGTGGTCCATTGCTCTACTCAAACGATCCACGCTTCCACAGGTCTGCCCTATCACGAAGGTAGGAAGTCCGAATCGTCAATCCTCTCTTGGGTAGAGGGTCGGATGTGGTGGACCGTATACCAAGCAGCTCCAACTCGTCCTCCCTCCAGAGAGTCTCGCCAGTTGCTGATTAACGATCACTCTGGCCAACGACTCGCTTCTCCACCAACTCCTGCTCGCCCCTGCGAGCGTCAGTCCTATCTCTAAATCGTGTGCTCTATCCGCTATCAGATGTTCGACCCCTTCTAGATCATGAGTCCTCTCGGGTCGTTCGTCTCGTAGTATCACTGTCCAAAGGAAGAGCCCCTCTGCGAGCCACGTTCCCAAGTATCGTATCGGTACACGCCCTGCCTCTTCTAACGCCAAAGGAAGTGGTATGTCGTATCCAACCGCCTTCTCTCTGGGTCCCACAAGCTTCCTCACACTATACGATTCGAACTCTTGTGAGAGAACATAAGCTAACCAGGCCACTGAATCACTCCTCATCTCTTCTCCTACTCTCGGTCAGCATCACTCTACTCCCTCTGATGCACCCCATCTCTCGACGTTGCTAACCCTTCAGACAACTCTCGCACTCAGGTCCAGTATGGTCGAGTAGGATCAGTAGCTAAGCTCACTCAACCGTCGCCCTAATGTGCTCCTCTACCTCCTACGCCCGGACTGCTACTCCTATCCTGGGAAAATGGGCGTCTGTAACGTCAATCTCCTCCTCGTCAACCTCTCTCTCTGGGTCGACCCAGTCTGGCTCCCAGGCGTGCTCGTCGTCGTCTTGCTCCCAACCCTCGTCGTCAAACTCGTCCTCGACGCAGGATTGCGCCTGTCCTATACCCTGGTAGTATTCCGCCAACTGATGGCCGTATATCAGAGGTCGTCCGGCGTCCTCACCCCACCAGCTCTCCCAGTCGTCTGAGAAGAGCCGCCCGATGCAGGTCACGTACTCGGGGCCTGCTCGTAGCTCACGGTCTAGCCAATCCCAAACGCACGGAGACTGAGGCCACTCGTCGTCTATTGAGCGGATCAACTCTATAAGCTGAACCCTCTCGTCTCCCCAACGAGACCCACCGGTTGCGAGCGAATA